AAGTACTGTTACGATAAAGATACTAATTTGGCCGGAAATGTTTTGTGGGTCTCTGCTAGTTATTAATATTGGTGAAGGACAAAAGAGCCATTATACATAGTAAACTGTAATTAAAAGCACATTTTAAATTAACTGCTGGTAAAAAGTTTTTCACATGAAACAAATGAAGTTATTATTCATAGTAGCACACAATATTTGTTTCAAAGACACCAGTTTTCAGTATTGTGTTTCTTGTGTATTATAAAGCTGTAAAAATTGTTGCAAATTTTCTTTGTTTATTGAAAAACAGCGACTTTATATTCTATAAAATTAAACTGGATTGTTTAAAAATTATAACAGATTCCAGAACTGATCATGATGTTTGTAATTATTTTTTATTCTTGAATGTGCAAAATGCATGATCAGTGATTTGTTTATTTTAGCTCTGTGTTCAAAAACTAGTGTTTTCAGTTTGATTTGTTAATCTGTTTATATCTTTAAAAATTCCATTGTTTCAAAATAATATGTAATAAAAATTTATCATTATGGAGAGTTTATATCTGTCTTTTGCTTTATTTTCATTTATTTTGCACAGGTGTGGCCTCATTCAGAATATCCTTTAATCCCAGTGGGAAAAATGGTCCTTAATCGAAACCCCAAAAACTATTTTGCAGAGGTGGAACAGTTGGCTTTCTGTCCTGCACACCTAGTGCCTGGTATTGAACCCAGTCCTGACAAGATGCTTCAGGTATGGATCTGTCTTACAAATTAGAACATAATTCCAACTTTTTTACAGTAAGATGTATGCTGTGTGCTTGAATTCCAGGTTAATTGCATTGTAGTCATAATAGCTTTATAAACCAGGGTTGCTTTCACTCTCTTTAGTATTCTGAAAAAAATAATAGAAAATAACAGGCTCCTAAATTATTCTAAAATCAAGGTAGTTCCTGAAGTACCCAAGAAAAGTAAATATTATAAAAGACATATGTGTGTGTGTGTGTATATATATATATATATATATATATATGTAGATAGATATGAACTGTTTCACAGTTTTAGG